GATTCTAGAGAAAGTTACAAAAGACACTTAGTACGAGACTAAACTTCAGTACGACATTCTATCCTCAAATAGAATATTAGTAAGAAAGGATAAATCAAAGATTAGAGGATATAATTAAGACATCCGTGATGGATCTAGGAAGTAGTTTGGATCATCACTTGCCATTGATTGAGTTTTGTACAACAACGGTTATCACTCTAGTATCGGTATGGCACTTATAAAGTATTGTATAATCGACGAGTGTAGATGACCAATATGTTGGGTGGAAGCTAGAGGAAAGGAACCTTTAGGGCCAAAATCGATTCAACTCACTATCGAGAAGGTGAAGTTGATTCAAAAACGCATTAGGACTATATATAGTAGACGGAAGAGTTATGTAGATCCTAAGAGAAGATATATAGAATTTTAAATTGGTGATTTTGTATTTCGTAGAGTTTCTTCGATGAAAGGTGTAATGCGATTTAACAAAAAAAGGAAAGTTGAGCTCGAGGTACATCGGACCGTTTGAAATAATATTAAAATGATTTAATATGAACCAGAAAAGGTTTTGATATGTGTTTACGGACTTGAACAAAATACGTTATGAACATTATTTTGATTATCCATATAGTTTCTAAAAATGCATACATTGTATTTGAAATATCAATTTGAAAAATGTATAAATATATTTGGTTTTTGAAAAATGTTTTCAAGACCACTAGAGAATCTAGCTACTAAGGGGTAGCCTTTGAGCTCAATGATATGAGGCTCCAGCTAGCGAGAAGAGGTAAAGTGCTAGCTTATATGTCGACCAACATACGAAAACCTAGTCACGGAAGACATGACTTTGGGTGTTCACATCAATGATACATTATTACCTCATTAATGTATATATATAAAAACCTATATATGAGATTTTGTATGAATACAATATATGCATGTATAAACACTTTAACGATTTGATATGAAATGGTTTTGGAGCCATTTAAATTATGAAGTAAGATGTGTTTTTGATATGCATATGTTTTAAGAAATTAGCATTGCATTTTGAGATGGATTTGAATGTATTACCCTCGGTTTATTTCCCTTCTTAAGGATGTTATATAATGTCTACTCTTTGAGTCGTTGGTTACTTACCCTTCGTTATTTCAATTTTGCATGATATTGAGGGATTGCCTTTGCTTCTTGTTGGTTGTTTTTATGAAGTCAGCACTTTGGTCGTATGATTTATTTTAATTGTAATTATTTGAACCTATGTATATTTTGATTTATTAGGTTCTTAAAAGCTATGTAGTTATAGTCGTGGGTATTGTATTAATAATTAATTATGAATATGGATTGAGAAATGCAATGATGACATTAAAATTATGAATCATGTTGAAGTTATAGATTATAAATTGTTAAGTTATAATATGGTGAAATGGAATGATGCATGGCATCATGATAATATTTAAGGACTTTAGCTTAGTATTCGAGGCTTGCTTGGGTCGATATAGGTCTCACGACTCTCTCGATTCTCGTATCGATCATGACCTACTCCCGTGGTCACAATAGAAATCTAGATCAGCTATAATAAAAGAGTATGAAGAATAACATTAGAGACAATAGAATGAACCAAAAGAAGAAACCAACTCGCATACGCATGAAAAGAAGACCACGCAGACAAAAAACATCAACATTAGAGGAAAAGTAAAGACAATTAGAAACAAAAATTAAAACCAAAAATACAACTAAATCCATTGACAAATCATCCAAAGACAATAGGTCTAAATCCATAGAAAATAAAAACCCAAAAAATATAGAACTCTCGAACAGGTCAATAGGAAAGCACAAAATGAAAAAAATAGTAGAAAATAGACATAGTAAATCCAACAAAGCATAATAAAGGACAAAAGAAAAAAGAAAAACAAACCACATATAGGTCCCGAGCTAAAATCTATTTAAAAAAGAAAAAAGAAACTTGTAAAGATAGAGAGACTTAAATGCGAAGCAAAATAACGAAAAAATTAAGAGAAAAACAAATAACCTCAATGGGAAGGAGAAGGACAGGAGAAAACAACCGAGAATAGAACCCAACCCATAAATGATCAATTTCAAAAAATAGGAATATTTTTTTTCTTGAAACCAAAGCCCCCCCCCCCCAAAAAAAAGAAAAAAAAGAAAAAAAGAAAAAGGTAAAATAAAACCTAAAAAATGGCAATGCCGCGTAACAAAAGACTAAATAAAAGAGCAAGATGCAAAACAAGTAATAATTATAAATGAAAGGAAAAAAAACACTTATTTGGTTGGAAACGAAGTGAATGGTAGGCAAAAACAACCCAACAAAGAAGAAAAAAACCACAAACTACTTGCATTTCTAAGGATGTAGCAAAAAAAACCCGTAATTTGCAGCATATAATGATTCTTAGGTCCCTTGCAATAATAGCCTCCTCCGACCAAAAAGGAACATTGACGAAAGAGGAAACAAAATTTCCCATCTACTTCGGAATGAACTAGATCCAATCAAAACCAAGTGATAAAAGAAGCGATAGAGAGAAACACGGACCTAATTCGCATTGAGAGAGAAGAAGCAAGAGCAAAATTGCACCCAAGAATGGTCAATGTCGCCGATAGAGAAAAATCGAAGACAATAATGATACCTTGGGCACTCATTTATCTATGAGAAATGATTAAAAAGAAGAAAAACCAAAAAAGAAAAAAAAGAAGAATGAAGGAAGGCGAAGATAGGAGTCGGAGACAAAAAAATGAGAGCATTTAATGTTCTGGATAAAAGATCGTGAAATAACGAAAATGGACACAATGACATAAAAAGAAAATTAATCAAAAAAGGGCAAAAACGTAAAATGCTAAAAACGTAATGGCAAAAATGAAATTAGCGAGAAAGGTCGAGGGTAAGAGAACAACCATTTGGGCAAAATCAAAGCGAACATGAAGGCACCGTAAAAAAGAGGTGGCAAACCCACTCACATTGGTTTTTAATTAAAAGAAAACTAGGAACAAAGGCCATATTTATTGAGCAAAACAATAGCACGAGAACGATAGGTTCGAATCTACGATTCATCCGAGCGATAAAACGAGTAAACAAATAGTAATTTGTGAGACAAAACACAATAAACGAGATAGTAAAGAGTCCAATTCTTTTATTTTTTCTATAATAAAATGTTCGTGTGTTATTATTATATGTTTTCAAAGAGTATTTGATATTGATTACTTAAAAAAGAGGTCAAAACAGGAGAAAAGAAAAATCAAGGGAATGTTTGGCATTATTCAAAGTTGTCATTTTTTTAAAAAAAAATTGGAAATAGAAGTAGAAAATTTAGACAAAATATATCTCGGCATAAAACTTTTAAATCTTGAATTTTGTGTTTTGGAGTGGATTTTGAGGTTGGAATGCACCGATGGAGGCATTACTAATGATTTTATGGTGTTTGAAGACTCAAGAAGTACAAATTAGGATTTTGAAAGTTTTCAATGAAGAACTAAAATTGTCACCAGATTTTCTTCTACTTTTATTTTTCTTTTAGCTATGTTGATCTATCTATATAATTTTTATTTATAGCAACCCTTTTATCATAAAAATCGATATTTGCCGAGCTTTCCATCCATTTCTATAAATTAGTGAAGGAACGACGTCGTTCACCTGAACCCTTTTTTGTTTCCCCCGTTTTTTTCCTGGGAAAGGCCTGACCCCTCAAACGATTGCCCCAAGATCGCTGCCCTGTATCCAAGCCTTGCAACCTTGATTATGGGCCTTGTCTGTCCTGGGCACAAATCAAGTCTTTTTTTATAACAACTCTTTTTTGTTTATTCTTCCTTCTTCTTTTTTTTTTTTTTTTAATCTCATTTATAAAAAAAAAATCATTTTTTTTGTGATTTATAAAATAAATGAAAAATATGATTTTTAGGGACGATCATTTTTATTTTTATATTTTTTATGCTTTAAAATTAATATCATTTCTCTTTTAAATTATTTTACGTCCTTACTCTTTATCTCTTTTTGTTCCGTATTTTTTCTTTTATATCTTTTATTCCGTATTCTTAAGCATACAATGATATAACAAAATATTAATATATATTATTTTATTATCCAATAACATATAATATATAAGAATACTATAGAACTCAAACGATAAAGACTGTGTATTAAGTAGCTCACTAATTAATACATGTAACTTAAATATTATTTTATGATATTTTAAATACCTATATTAACTTAAAAACAAACAAACAAAAAATTATTATTCATTGCCACAACTTAGTACAAGTAATGGATTAGTAATTTCATGCATTTGTTCTCATACAAAATCAATCACCACTACAAAAATAATAAAATATGGTGCAACAAATGATAATAATACTAGAGCTTATTACAAATCAATCAAACAATTTAAATTCTAAATAAATGGGTTTCGTATAATAATTTTTTACTATAAACAAGCTCATATTTAAATAAATCGACTTCTTATAATAATTTTTTCACTATAAATATGCTCGTGTTGAATGGCAACCTATCCATTTTTCGTGTTAACCTCATTGGATATTGAATTGATTATAAAATAGAAGAAATAATTTATAATGATTAATTGTAATTTTTTTTATTTGAAAACTTAAACAATAGAAATAAAACAAAAATGTTTCATCTTGTTCAAACAAAAAATAAACTAAAATAAATTTCCAATTCACCATTGAATAACGAAGTTTTTTCTTATATCAAATGGTAGGAATATAGAAATATAAAAGCTGAAATTGTAAAGAAAAATGGTACGTGGTTGCATTGAAGAAATTGGCCTAGAGTTTGTTTTTACAATGTGGTTATAAATATTTTTAAGCTGAAAAAGTATCAACTTTGTTTTTCCGTAATTTTAATAGAAGGAAAAGAAGGGCCCTTCAGTCATTTTCCTGATTTAAATTTCCTTCCTTTTCAACTCCAGAACAATCCAGAAAACGCAATTGTGGTGAGGATTTTTTTAATCTGCAGCAGAGAGAACAAGGGTGTACTGTGTGCACTATCAACAGAGAAAATGCCTTGCTTGAACATTTCGACCAACGTTAATCTCGATGGCGTCAACACATCTGCCATCCTCTCTGAAGCTTCCTCTCAAGTCGCCAAAATCATCGGCAAACCTGAGTCCGTAAGATTTTTTTTTCTTTTGCCTCGGGTTTTTTAAAAAGTTTTTTACTATTTTTTTTAAAAATTCATTCGTGATATTTTAGTGTTTTTAGTTTTAGTCTACTATGTTATGGTTTTTTTTTTAATCTCTGATTTTGCTAAGATCCTTTTGTTGATACATGTTGTTTTTGGACTTGAGTGTTGATATATGGATGAAATAGTTTGTATAAAATGTTAAAATGTTTTGGGCTATTAAAATTATTTGCTGGTTCGTATAGAAGATTTTGAACCATTTAAACAATTAGTTGCTCAAAGTTCTACAGTGGGTTTTTAGTGCTTGGTTAATGTGTGTTATGGTTGGTAGTAAAATTATTTTAATGTGTTTATAATTTTGGGAAATGACAACTTTTGTAATGATCGAGGAGAATTTGGTGACTATGATGCGTATTTATATGCTCATTTTCAATCTGAAAAGTAGTTTTGTAGCAACTACATAGGGAAGAGTTTGTGGATACTTGAGTTCTTGGTGTTGTCATAGCAGCTTGTGGTTATTTATGGTTCTAAAATCGCTTGATATGATCGGGTTGTTTATTATGAACTGGATGAGTTAAGGTTTTGACTATCTAGTTGTGCTTGTGTTCACAATGGACGGTACACTGGGTTTTTTCTTTTTAATTGCTGGGAAGTGTTACTTTTAAAGAGTTTTGTTGGGAACTCTGATGTTCAAAGTGCGATTTGGTTAATATGAAGTGCATTTATATGCTCATTTTCAATCTGAAAAATAGTTTTTTAGCAACTACATAGGAAAGAGTTTGTGGATACTTGAGTTCTTGGTGTTGTCATAGCAGCTTGTGGTTATTTATGGTTCTAAAATCGCTTGATATGATTGGGTTGTTTATTATGAACTGGATGAGTTAAGATTTTGACTATCTAGTTGTGCTTCTGTTCACAATGGACGGAACAATGAGTTTTTTCTTTTTAATTGCTGGGAAGTGTCACTTTTAAAGAGTTTTGTTGGGAACTCTGATGTTCAAAGTGCGATTTGGCTGCAGTGTTTCGGGTAGAAATGGATTTTATTGCTGTCTGCATGTTCTTTGCTAGTTTATCTCTATAGTGGACGAGAATTGTGTTATGTACACCTACACCCGCAAACCTCCTTGTTTCATTATTTTCTGCTTTTATTTTTTTGTTATTTTTCAGTTCTTGTAACCTAAAAGGAATTTGCATATTTGCATTGATCGATATGATAGTTCTCCATTGGATGTCTTTTATCTATTATATCTGTGCGATTGTGCAGTACGTGATGATTGTGTTGAAGGGCTCAGTGCCAATTTCATTTGGAGGAACTGAGCAGCCAGCAGCTTATGGTGAGTTGGTATCTGTTGGTGGCCTTAGCAGTGATGTGAACAAGAAACTGAGTGCTGCAATTGCTACTATTCTTGAGTCGAAGCTGTCGGTGCCCAAGTCACGGTTCTTCCTCAAATTTTTTGATTCCAAGGCAAGCCATCTCAACTTTTAATTGTCAAGATGGATCATTGCCATGCGCACGTTTCTTCTCATTGCATTCTTCCTGTTTGTTTAGGCCCATCAAAGCCAAGAATATGCACAGTGTTTGCATGCTTTACACCAGAACTAGATCATGTAAATAAATCCTTACTGTTTTTAAACTGTGAGCATAGTTATTGAATTCCCTTAGGATTCAACTTACTCTTTGATTATGTTCATATTGGCAGCCATGTTTTTTCTGCCACTTCTGATGGTTTTGATGCTTGCTTTGTTTTGCAGGGCTCCCACTTTGGATGGAATGGTTCCACCTTTTAATCCCAGCTTCGTGCCTGAGTTGCTCTCAGACTTAACACCATGCTTTCAGACAGATGTGTCTTTGGTGTTTTGCTGTTGTAGAAACTTGATCTAAGTAGCATATTTCTGTTTCTGTCTAGGTTTAGGATGCGTAGAACTGAACCCTTTAAACTGTACCTCTTTTATGGAAGAACTATATGTTTGCTTGATGCTCAGGCATTGGAATGTTTAAACAATCTCCATGAAAGATGCTCTAGTATCATTTTCTTCATGTGTTGCTAGCTGCTTGCGCTTCAAATTGTTTGAATCTGGCATAGATACAGATCCCTGAAACTTATCATTGGTGTATAAAAAAACTGTAGTTCAAAATGCTCTGCACCTGCTTGAAGCAAGTAAAGTCGCACTCATCTCTGCTGCTCGTATGACGCTCATCTTTTTCTAAAATCCCAAGAAGTATTTGGGTCAGTCCCCCACACCGCAACTTCCAGATGGTAAAGACATCTCGATCGAACTAGAGCAGTCAACACTTCACGGTATAATGGTCCGAATATATTCTGCACCAAATTGCTGGGAGCTGATTGAACGATTAAGTCTGATACTGGAGGTGAGATTGCACCCTTCTTCTCTTGTTTTAAGCTGTCCAACTTGAATACTCCATAAAACAACCGTATCAGAAAAAATTGTCCGGTGACTCAATCTTGTTAACTATGAGCAGACGGATGGTGGGATCTCGGTTAAATAATTCGAGTTTGCACAGGATGAAGCCATGGAATTATTAACTGATTCATTACCTGCAGCTAATAAATCAAAAGAACAAATCTAAGAAATTAGATTTCTTCTGTTATGCTCGTCACAATTATTTAACACAGGTCATCAATTGATAAAAATAAAAACCTGTATTTCTGTTTTCATCTCCCAAATTCAGAGATGCTAAAATTATCGCCGATTTTATCCTTTCCTTTTTATTTCTTAGCCCAAACATTGCCCCATTTTCCTACTAGTCCCTGGGCCAAGTCAGACATTTTTTATGCTAAGCCCAAACCCACTTGAAACCTCCATTGGGCTTCCAATATATAACCCTTCCTTCTACCTTCTTCCAGCAGAAAGAGCCAGGAAAATACCACCAAAGCTTGACATGTCAACTTTTTATTAGTCAATTGACGTTAGGAAGGCAAGAAGAAGCAAGGTCCTCCGTGTTCGATGACCGAACCTTAATAAAGAAGGAAAGCAAACAATCACCGTAAAAGAAAAATAAAACGTCTCTCTCTCAACGCCCACTCTTTTCTCTACGCGAAATCACTCATTAAATTCCCTCTCTATACTTAGCTGATTTCCCCTCCCTAAATTCCCTTCCAATCTCCCTATTTCTTGTAAAAAAATAAAAAATAAAAAAACCCAAAAATATCTACCCGATGTCGTCCCAATCTCCGCCAGTCCTGCCCATCACAAACCCCCCACCACCTCCCTCCACAACTGCCACGACCACCGCCGCCCAACCACCACTCCCTCCCCACGCTTTCCGCGCATTTCTCAACAACATTACTGAATCCGTCCGCAACGGTTTCTCTCAACGACGTCCCTTTTCTGAACTAATCGATAGATCTGCTTTTTCCAAACCCGAATCCATATCCGAAGCTTCGGCCCGCATCCGTAAAAACTATTCCTATTTCCGCATCAATTACCTCGCCGCTATTTCCGTAATCCTCGCGTTTTCCCTCCTTTCTAATCCTTTCTCTCTCCTCCTCCTCCTAGGCCTCCTCTGTTCTTGGCTATTCTTGTATCTTTTCCGCCCTTCGGATCAGCCTTTGGTTCTCTTCGGCCGGAATTTTAGTGACCGTGAAACGCTCGGGATTCTGATCGTTTTGAGTGTTTTCGTTGTTTTTCTAACGAGTGTTGGATCTGTGATAATCTCAGCACTTTTGATCGGTGTCGGACTTGTTTGTGCTCATGGTGCTTTTCGTGTTCCCGAGGATCTTTTCTTGGATGACGTTCAAGAAAATGCCAATACTGGGTTCTTGTCTTCATTCCTTGGTGGCACTGCCTCTAATGTTGTTGCCTCCGCCGCGCCTATTGTGGCTGCCGCCCGTGTTTGATGATCTGAAGGATGCGGTATCAATTAATGTGCGTTTTCTAGGTTTTAGTAGACGAAATAAATACATGTTTTATATGGATTTTGGTTAAAATTGTATGGATCTATATTGTTTTTATGGGATTTTGTAATTGTGGTAACGGATCTATAAATTCTTTCCTTCTTTTTTAGAATGTAATTCATATGATTTGGCTGTAATTAGTTTGATTTGCAGATCATGATTCACTGTCACTGATTTTTTATCTTGTCATTATGTGAATGTATGGTGCATATTTGATATATGTTGTGGACAGATCCATGCACGGCTTGATTTAGCAGCCGGGAGATTGTTGTGATTTCTCCCTGATATTCCGGTGGCTGGTATTGCTGATGAACTTGGTAAATAGTCTGCTAATTGGAATGCATTATCAAATGTTCCGGACCTGGGGAAATTACATTAGGCGTAGTGCTATTTGGGGCATACTTAGATAAGTTCTACTTTGGATTGATGTCAAATCCACACTGTTTACTTAGATACAGATACTTGTAGGCGAAAATGGATCAATTTTATATGAGGCATGCAACTTATGCTCTCCCTTGTTCCTTTTCTAGGTAACTGATCAATCATAATGGAATTTGCATCTATGTGTTTGTTTGTGTTGATAGGATATCTGAAACAGGTTATTTGCTGCTTGCCATCTGATTTATTGCTGTCTTCGAAGTGTGTTCTTCTGATTTAGCTGTGGTTTATTTACTTTAGTTTGAGCCTAGGATATCTATATGGTTCTATGTGTGTCTAGCATCCTGACAGTGGGATTGGTGGTTAATTGGGATTAATGATGAGGTTCTAGGCTTGGAGAAATTATGAACAGTGGTATATTCTTTGTGAATCCATGGATAGGACTTTTGACTAGTTTTAAGTCAATATTGACTAGCTGTATGTCAATAGTATACATGCTCTTGATAATCTAAACATGATATCCTCTGTCTGCATAGGCTGCAATGGATCCATATTGTGTAAACTACTAATTGGTGTAATTTTCACCTTCTTTGTAGGTTATACTCCATATTTTTGTAAATCTCAAGTTCTTTTGAGCATGGTCTGGATTATAAGGGGCTGTTCTTGTCATTGTGGTGATTGTGACTATTCCTTGTGCTAATAATTTTTTAAACAAAATTTAATTCAGATACATATAACTTGTTTTATTTTGGTCGTGAAACGGTTCTGCAAGATGATGCTCTGTCTTGATCTTAATCTTGTTTTCTTTAATAGTCATCTCGATCGTTGTTTGTTACAGCTGAATGTGTCAAATTTGTTGTCCTCCAGAAACCTTGGTTCATTTGATTTTATTTTGTGGCGTTACAGTGGAATGCTTCTCACTTGACATATTTGCTTATTGTTAGGGTTATTGTTAAGGGAGTACAGGTCAGGTACATAGTGTTCAGTGGCTGTCTGATGCAAGCTAAAATCAGGATGTTTGCAGTTTTTCTTTTCTCCCTTGAGAAAGCATGTTTGCATGATTGTTCTTATTTCGTTTTGATTTTTTCAACTTTGAGAAGGTTTATTACTGTTGGTTTTTACTTCAGCATTGTAATTTAGACCTAATTAATCTGCAGTTGGATTTCCTCGGTCTGCAAGTCATGGACCCGTATGTTATACTCTTCCTTAGACCCATAACTATAAATTCTGCAGTCACGTGGAGGAAGATGGACTACTGCGGTTCATGGCTCTATTCAATGTCTGTTTTCCCGACTTGGAGAGAGGTTTAAATTCGGTTTAATGGCATTGAAGTTGTTGCAAAATAAAATCTAGACTGTCAATTTGATTTATTTTGATTCCAAAATATTATTTTCTAGGCAAATTGTGTCTTTTTTTCGGTTAAAGTTTAAATTCTGTCATTTTTAGATGTGCTTAAATTTAAAATTAATTTAAAGCATTTTTGTTAATGATTGATAAAGTGATACCTAGAAAATAATAGTTTAGGATTAAAATAGACCAAACATGCTTTGTTTTGTCACAATCCCAATAATTTTGGGGAGAAATTTGCCTCTAAACTTAAACCATTTAAATTCTCTCATCTGATTGGGGCCTTTATAGCAGGCTTAAATTTTGAAATCTGGTACTACTTTTGATGCATGAATAAATAAACTAAGGTTCTATTCACTAAAGTGCAGTGTGGTGATTTGTGGCAGCGGGTTTGTTTATTTTTCTGAAGTTGAAAAATGCAATAATGCAATCAATTATGCTTTTTGGTTCGAAAGTATCCATGCAATGCAATCAAGAGGTTTAGAACGATGCCCCAAGCTCATGATTTGTCGAGGCCCAGAGGCCATAAGGACGCATGCAGACAAAAGCCAATCTCATGAATTTAAACCCAAGTAAAAAGGACAGAAAACTAATCTCATGATTTGCCAATAATTGACTCTACCAACTATTGCCTGGAGTCATCTACAGTGGTAAATTTGTCATTTGACCAAGTCTAAAGCATGTGTGCTATGTTCCCTGACCAAGTAATATAGCCGTTGGACAAGGGTCCCTGGTCAGGTAAGAAGACCGGTTCAGTTAATGAACGTTGTTCAGTAGCATATTGTATACAAGTAAAACTAGCCGTTAGAAGCAGGAGAAACTAAAGCCAAAAGAGTGAAAGACCGTCACCCCCCTCCTTTTGTCATCCCCTTATCACCTCTCTAATATCAACTCTCACTGTCTCACATTGCTCCCTTGCAAACCGAACTTTCCTTCTTCCTAAAATTTCTCCTCCTTGCTACTTACTCTCTCTCATTATTCAAGAGAGGGAAGAGTACAGACATTCTTAGAAACTCTCGTTAGTTCTTTCAACAATTTTTGTTTCTTGAACTTGTTCATGGAAAATACTTGTCACTTCCGCTACAAGTACTTTCTTTATACACACTTATGCTTGTTTCTACTAGTTTTTTTGCCTCAACTTTCTTTAAGCCAAAAATGGGATGGTGTGATTGTCACCCAAGCAGATTATCAAGCTCTTCGAGCTATAAAGAATGAACTAATCGACTTCAAAGGGTTTTTACGCAGTTGGAATGATAGTGGATATGGAGCTTGCTCTGGTAGGTGGGCAGGAATCAAATGTGTCAAGGGACAAGTTATTGCTATCCAGCTTCCTTGGAAGGGACTAGGTGGCAGGATCTCTGAGAAGATTGGCCAGCTTCAAGCACTCAGAAAGATTAGTTTACATGACAATGTTATTGGTGGTACTGTCCCTTTGTCTCTTGGTTTTCTTCACAATCTTAGGGGGGTTTACCTCTTCAACAACCAGCTTTCCGGTTCTATCCCTCCTTCCATCGGTAACTGTCCTGTCCTTCAGACTCTTGATGTAAGTAACAATTTCCTCATTGGTAGAATTCCTCCTAGTCTTGCAAATTCTACAAGGCTATATAGACTTAATATGAGCTTAAATTCGTTAGTGGGGTCGATCCCAGTTGGTCTTACGCAGTCCCCTTCTCTCATATTTCTTGCTCTTCAACACAACAACCTCTCCGGGTCAATCCCAGATTCTTGGGGGAGAAAAGGAAACAATTCTTATCACCTTCAGTTCTTGACCCTTGATCATAATCGCATTTCTGGAACTATTCCTGTCAGTCTTAGCAAGTTAGCTTTACTTCAAGAGATTTCTTTTAGTCACAATCAGCTTTCTGGGGCCATACCTAACGAAATAGGGACTCTCTCAAGGCTTCAAAAGCTAGATTTTTCAAACAATAATTTCAAAGGAAGCATTCCATCTAGTTTTTCCAATTTCACCTCTTTAGTCTCTCTGAATCTTGAGGGAAATCGCCTCGACAATCAGATCCCAGAAGTTTTTGATGGATTATCCAACCTCTCAGTGCTAAACCTGAAAAATAATCAGTTCATAGGCCCTATCCCAGCTTCTATAGGAAACATTTCTCGCATCAACCAGCTTGATTTAGCCCAAAACAATTTTAGTGGAGAAATTCCAGCTTCTCTTGTTCGCCTAGCCAATCTCACTTATTTCAATGTTTCTTATAACAATCTTTCCGGTTCTGTTCCCTCTTCCCTGGCTAAAAAGTTCAATTCAAGCTCTTTTGTGGGAAACCTTCAGCTATGTGGCTATAGCATTTCAACCCCATGTCCTTCACCTCCACCTGCAATTCTTCCAGCTCAAACACCAGAAGCACCAAAACGCCATGGCCGAAAACTTAGCACAAAAGACATTATCCTCATAGCAGCTGGGGTCCTCTTACTTGTGCTGCTTCTTCTCTGCTTCATTCTGCTATGTTGTTTGATGAAGAAAAGGTCTGCTTCAAAAGAAATGGATGGCAAAACCGCCACGCGGTCTGTCTCAGGGAAAGATGCGAAGACGGGTGCTGTGGCAGGCCCTGAAGTTGAATCTGGTGGTGAAATGGGTGGGAAATTAGTCCACTTTGATGGGCCATTTGTGTTTACAGCAGATGATTTGTTGTGTGCAACTGCGGAGATAATGGGAAAGAGTAGCTATGGAACAGCTTACAAGGCAACATTAGAGGATGGCAATCAAGTTGCCGTGAAAAGGTTGAGGGAGAAGACTACAAAGGGGCAGAGGGAGTTTGAAACTGAGGCCGCTGCTCTTGGAAAGATTCGGCACCCGAATCTCTTAGCACTAAGGGCCTATTATTTGGGTCCCAAAGGGGAGAAGCTTCTTGTTTTTGACTACATGCCTAAAGGGAGTCTTGCATCCTACCTCCATGGTATGTTGATTCTACCAATTTTATTTTATTATCTACAATATCAGTACATTCATTTATTAAATTCTGGCTGCTAGTAAATTACCCATGATTTAGATATTTATGATCTTGTAGCTCAGGATTCATTCTTAATATCTTGCTTTCATTAATTTCGAATAACCAAAACAGATTCTTGATGATTGTATTGAAGTTGAATTGTACAGTTTTGGTGTAAACAGATGAATTATTTTTAGTAAGAAATGTCTATCATGCTTGATGGATTGATGAACATTTAATTGCAAAGAATTAAAGTCACGTATGACTCACCCTAAAGGTGTTACAAATATGTGCATTAGATTATATTTGTCGAGAAGTGCAAAATCGTATAGATACGATCCTCGTTGTGCATCTTGATCAATTGGATCGTTTCTTTGTGGATCCCATACGAAACTTTTGTATATATGTTTCGGGGTATTCCTTTATCATTTCGTCCAACAGGAAGAGTTCCTCTAATTCTATTAATTTTTCTAGATTACATACTAATTAAGAAGATTGAAGCTAGCATTGGAAGCTTATTTCCTTGTTTGAAATAAAAATAAAATAAAATTATGATTGTGTTCAGGCTCAGGATTCATTTATAAATGTGTGCTTGCATGAATCTGCCGAAAGAAGAGAGTTTTGGGGCAAGTCATCGTAGTTTTGGACATAGAAAGATGAACTTTGAGCAAGGACTTTGATTTTGTTCCGTTTCTGCTTTTTGATAATTTTAACTCGAGTAATAACTGCTGCCTAGTCATATGATGCAATGCAAATTCCTAACCATTAGAAGCAATTCTGGTTTATCTTAATCATTTGTTTGCTTGCAGCTCGTGGGCCTGAAACCACTGTCGATTGGCCAACAAGGATGAAGATAACCATTGGCGTTGCACGTGGACTAAACCATCTCCACACCCAGGAGGACATAATTCATGGGAACCTCACATCAAGCAACATATTACTCGACGAGCAAACTAATGCACACATCGCAGACTTTGGCCTCTCCAGACTCATGACTACTGCTGCCAACACCAACGTGATTGCTACTGCCGGAACGCTTGGCTATCGAGCACCAGAGCTCTCAAAACTCAAGAATGCCAACACAAAGACTGATGTGTACAGCCTTGGGGTGATCATCTTGGAACTTTTGACTGGGAAATCACCAGGTGAACCAATGAATGGCATGGATTTGCCCCAATGGGTTGCATCCATAGTGAAGGAAGAGTGGACCAATGAAGTCTTTGATTTAGAGCTTATGAGGGATGCACAAACTACAGGTGATGAGTTGCTCAACACATTGAAATTAGCTCTGCATTGCGTTGATCCCACACCAGCAGCTCGTCCTGAAGCCGAACAAGTTGTTCAGCAACTTGAGGAGATTAAGCCAGAGCTAGCTGCTGCTCCTGCTGATGATGGAACCAAAGTCCCACCAACGACTGAATAGAAAGGGAGTTCCGAAATTCTTTCATTGTTATATTTTTTGTGTGCGCAAGAAATAATGATTTGTTTCAATTTATGTTGGGAGGGTAGTTCTGAAATTCTTTCATTATTATATTTTTGGTTACCCTATGTAAATAGAAGTTGGAAAATGTATTCTTTTTTGGGGAGATAATAATTTATTCTTTCAATTCATTATTTCTGTTAGTAAACAGAAAAAATCTCAAATAAGCAAAATTAGTATAAAATTTCACAAGATATGTGTTTCTCTCTCTGCCATAGCAAGCTGATAAAGAATTTATTTCTATAAAAACTTCCTTGTATAAATGCAATTCTAGTTCAAGAATCCTCATCTTTCCTGATAAAATAAAAGAGTCCTTCTCCTTATACAAGAACAAATTATAATAATTTAGCAGTACACAAAGTACAGAAGAAAAACCCGAATGGCTGGAGACCTTGCAATCTGTTCTTTTGCACCCTATTGTGGAAAAGAAAGAGAAAGGGAAGATAAATCAGCAGAGAAGCAGCAATGAAAAAGCAAAAGGCTAGTTCATCGTCACGAACATCTGCAGTGTTAAATTTCTCTCTGAACCATCTGTTGAATGATCTGTTGATTGAAATTCCAACAGCAAAATGTGCCATTGGCTTCCAGTTGGTCTCGAAAAGGTGGCGTTCCCTAATCTCTAGTCCCTACTTTGTTGAGAAATTTACAACGCATCATATCAACGGGAGCAGCAAAACCACCAGTTATTATCATCATGCTGCATGCCAAATTCTCACAAGTCTCTTTATTTTCAGTAGATAGAGATAGACAGCTTTTACTATAACTGATACAAAAGATCCAATATTTAAGTCCCCATTAGAATTCATTGTAGAGAAAAGGGAATCTATTTCTACAAGTCTCTTTATTATTTTGCCAAGCAAATTCAGTCTTTTTATAAGGATAACTGTTATATCTGTAGTCCCTTCACAATCCAATGGCTTCTTCTCCTCCTATCAGAAAACATGGAGACTCAGCTTGCTCTTTTTTGGATTGTTTTGTAAGCCAAATTATCTAAGATGAGTCCAAGGACAACAATATGGATGTCATTTTAATGTGGTCTGTGTTACTCTGATAGGAAAGGATTGTTATTGTTCCGAGGCTAGACAGTGGAATGAGACTCTTCTGTTTGTTACAGAATACTGTGTCTTAGCAATGTGGTTGCATATGAAGGGAAGTGGTACAATGGTATTGATGCTGTTGCTTATGATCCCTTTAATAATGGTCAGCCCATTTATATTGATGGATCTGAAGTTAAAATCCTGAAGCCCTATGGTACGAAAAATTTTATAATATATAAGAAATAATAATTAATGACATATATAATAATTATTCCACCAATCCAGGGCTTCAGGATTTTAACTTCAGATCCATCAATATAAATGGGTTGACCCTTGTTAAACAATGATGATAATGATCATTTGAGTGCTTGGGAGCTCAAGGACTATCGAGAGTAGAAGATTGATCTTGATTCGCAAGATTTTCTTTAACAGTATCATCCCCGAGAAACCTTTGGTTCGAAAACTTGCCAGGCATTCTTTCCATAGAGCACGGGCACTCGGTTTCCATCCAAAAAAAAATAGGGATGTAACATTTCTAGTTTTTGAGATCCGTTTCTTGTTAAACAGGAAAAATCCATCAATCAGCTTATTGGATCCATTTCTCACTTAATGCTACAGCTGCCTGCCTGCCACATTACCCTTTTTTTGTAATTGATCTTATGTGAAGTCTTATTCCAACCAAAGATAACTTTCAGAACTTCAAGGATTCTGAGTATGATTAATATGTTCAGATCATTTTCCTTTGTTGAATAATTGTGGTTATATATTTTTATTCTTCATACCAAGAATTACTTGTCTATGGAGGTAGGGGATGCGCTTGTTTTAATTGCCATTTTGTCTATTTGTTTATGTCTATATGAGACAGAGAATCTGATAATCCAACTGAACTGCTTTTGCATTTGGGCAAAAGATCACATCTGCTTGTAAATTTCACACTTAAAGACCATTTGAGAAGGTTCAGCTAACAAACAAGAATTATGTGTCCTTCTCATGTTTGAAACGTGATAGATAGATGGTAAGGTCCTTCTCATGTACACTTTACAGCCATTTTCCTTGATGTTTCATCTAAGTTTTAATTGTCAGGTATAGTCCTGTTTGCATTACACCTATCATGGTACTATAAGAAAGTTCATGCTTTGCCTTCATTTTGCTTGCAGCTATACTTTAAAATCTTGCAGAAACAAAAGCAAAATAGAAGTATTTTCACAATTTTTTTTATCATGCAGAATTTTTAACATAAATTTTCTTGTTTTTAAGAAATTAAGAAAAAATAAAAACTTAATCTTGATAAATTTACAATCTAAAAATTCATTTATGACAATTAAAACTTTTCGAACAGTTTTTTTTTAAAAAAAAAAACCGAAAAGATTTGTGTTAAATTGGTTCTAGTAATATTTTATAAATGCTTCAGATGGAGCAAGTTCATGGTAGTGTTAATTATAAATATATATATATCGATTGTGATCCGTGTAAGAACTCATTTGAAAATACAAATGAAAATATGATCCAAACAGATGAATGCGGTTACACCGATCCGAATGAATAGATTTTTTTAAATTGAATACGAATTTTGTTTTCTAATAAAAATCCGATTATAAATACGTCGTAGTGTAGATCCTTAATTATTTTCACTTTCTTTCTTTCCCTTCCCTCCTTTTTCTCAAACCAATCCGGTATTTACTCATTACCCAACCATTAAAACGACACCGGTTCTAACTGTCTCTCTAAAACAAAACCCTCCTTCTCCCAATACCTACCTCTCTGTCTCTTCCTCCTCCTCTCCTCGCTCGCCATGGACGATCTTCCCTTACAGAAAATTACAATATCAGGCCCCACATTATCCGCCTTGATGCACCGGATCACCACTTCCCTCGGCGACGTGGACGGTCTCTTATTCGGCCACGTAACCCAACTTACCCCTTCTACCCTCACCGACGATAACACTCCCCAAAACCCCGATTCTAACCTTATCGCCACGATTACCTCCTTCTTTTGCCCAAATTCCCCTCTCTCCTTCTACGACTCAATCGGCCGAGTCGACTCCGTCCCTCTCCACCGATTCCTCTCGTCAACAGCAATTCACCAAAGGAATAGTAGCAGTAGCAGTAGTAATTTCCTCGGTTGGTTCTCCGCGAGAAGGAAATCCCCAATTCGCCCTTCGATGAGGGAATTTTTTGTTTCGCAATCTTTGAACACGCTTAAAACGGTGGAGAATGGTGAAAAAGGTTTGAATCCTTGCGTTTTTTTGTTATTTACGACGCCTGTACAAGGCGAGTTGTTATATCATACGCATGAGTATCGCGCGTATCAATTTCGAATTAATTCAAGATGCTTTGAGCCAAAAACGATTGGAATTGATAATATTGGCCCGGATTTTCGAGGGAATTATGGGTGTTTTAGCCCTAATTCTCCATTTCCGGAGTTGAATTGTGAGTTGAGAGGTATATCGGTGATGAATGAGGACAGGAATGATGAAGTGGGGAAGAGTTTGGGCGGGGTGAAGAAGATTTCGAGGGATCAAAAAGAATTGGGTATGATTGCGGAGGGGTTTGATGTTGGGGATTTGGGGAAGTTGATGGGATCGGAGACGGGGAATAATACAATGGGGTTAGAACATTTGTATGAGAAAATGTTGGTTAAGCTTGACAATTTGGCTAGGCAAGTTGAGAAGAGCAATGCTAAGGTTTTGGAGATGGTAAGATTTTGTGATCTTTATTTTTGTTTAGTTATTGAGTTCGGAACTTATACTGTGACGGAATTAACTTCATCTTGTCATAATGTGCTTGATTGTATTTTTAATGCGGGTAGACAGTATAGATGGTTGTGATGGTTAGTATTTTGTTACGGCAAGTTTCAATGTTAGCATTGTATAGATGCTAGAAGCTTTTCTTTCGGAATTTGTAGTTGAATGCTCTTTTTTGTGGAATTAGAAGGCAGGAAGGTTAAGTATTGAACTCTGCTTGTCAATTAGACGTATTTATCCTGGATGGATTCATATGGCCTTAATGTTTGCTTTGAACTTTTGGCAGGAAAATCTTAATAGGAAATTGAGGTACAAAGCTGCCAGGCCTGGACCAGAATAACGCTTCAGTTCTGCTTGTATTTTTTTTAAAAAAAAAATTGTGTCAGGTAAATTTTTTTTCTTTTTCTGAGTTTTTGGTTTTCGTTTGATGCACACACACATATATAACAGTATCCTCTTTTGTTAGAAAATAGAATTATATGCAGCCCTGCTGCGATGATAATAAACTGCAATATAAATGAATTGTGGGAAACAGAGTTGTAAATTGAATATTGTGAGTCACAGTGTGAAATTGGATAGAGAATGACCATAATTTTTTCAACTTTGCACAATGTTGAGTTTGTTGTGTGAGATTACTTGTTTTGATATGGTTGCAAATTCACTATAATTTACTGTTTGGTGAAAGTATGCACTTTCGTCTGGTCTATGCTAGCTTTCCTATTTTTCCAAAGAAGCTAGAGTTCATATATTGTGCTCAACTTTGCATCTAACATTCATCTACCACAGGTCACTCTTCCTCCTGTACTTTTCTTTAATATACATGGAAAGATTTCGCTTTTAAGTCACATGAATACTTAAAGATCAAAAGAATCCAGTTTGGCTAGTCCAAATACTATTTTGTTATATGGTTTAACTAGCTTGAACAGCTACTAGGTTCATAAAATGGGGACTTATGACTCATGCTTAAGATTTAAAACATGCCTACCGTACAGTTTTGCAACTTTTATGAATGACTAGTTTCTTTGCTTAGTATGATGTATATGGTTTCTGCTTATGTCCAAGTTATTAAGGTATTTCCTTTTTATCCTATCTACTTAGCTATGTCGGTTCTCAATGTGTTATTGTGTCATAATTTCCCTTCTTGAAGTTGTTGATGGTCCCTGTTTTTATTTTAGTTGTTGCGCATAACAGTTTGAATCTAAGCGTCGGAAAGCCTGTCTGAATGGTTCTCAGGAATCACTTTATTCAGTCGCAGCTTTGCTCCTGATATCTTATAGCATGCCTTCGGCTTTGCGCCAATATAGACTGCTTTGAAAGATGTCATAATTCTCATAGAATCTGTCTTGTGTTTGTGGTCAAGTAATTTTATGTCTTAACAAATTATTTAGGACCATAAAATTCAGCTCAATTATATAATGCAGTTCTTTATATGCTGACTGGGAAGTGTGATGTTCTGTTGGAATTTTCTTGGCACTCAGCTGAAATTGTAGACGTTTATCCACTAAGTTTTTCATTTCTCACTTTTTTTTCCCGTTGTTTTGTGGGAATCTTTGTGAACAGGAAGGTGCCAATTTACGAAGCCATTGTTTGGAAGATCCAATTATCAAGAAATTAGTATCCATAGTTCATGTTGTATATTTGTGGTGCGAGATCTAGATGCCCGATTATCATTGAACCGTCGATGATGCTAACGACCGTTTTGCGGTGGGTTTTCAGAATGGGAAGTCATTTCTCCTCCTCCTAGGTCTTGTGTCCGCATTTGATGTATTAAAATCATTGCTTTGTGCTATCCTGAATTTGCTTATACCTGGAGAACTGAGATCTTTATGTTGGTTTAGAAAAGAAATGAAATCAAATGGATAAATGATGCTTTCATCTCTGTTTATTGTAATATGTCTCAGCAGCGGACACCGTACCTTTCATCTGCGTCATACTAGGTCACATGCTTAAATGGTCATAAAACCGAACCGGACACCGGTCGGACCACCCGATCTGGCCAGTTGTGTTCACACTACCCGTAACTTGTTCCCTTCTAATGTAGCAGGGAAGGTATTTTAGCGGGCCCCAGTAAAGAGGCAAAAGAAGTTGCACTGATGTGTCCCAGGAACTTTCCAAGATCCTTATCCTCTGTCATGATAAAGAAAAGGACAACTTTTACTCTTCCTCTCCCTCCCCCCTCCTCCCTCTTTGATACTCTAAAAAATAGCCGCAATTCGACTTAAATTGATATTGTTTTAGTTGGACCGAGTTGAGAAAAAAAAATCAGAAGCGATGTCTTAGTCCCCAAGAAAATGACGTGTTTCAAGTAATAGCGTGTTGCCACGTGTATTAAGCAATGGCCATAAGTAAGCCACGGCAGAACCTGACACGAGCACGTCAACTGAGCATCATCTATCTTGGGATAATAAAAGCAGAATGCAAGCATATCCGTTGTCTCTGAAAGTTCGCAAATTTGAATAGATTGGTGGTCGATTGTTTCTTTGCATCCAAGACAAGTCTAGTGAATAGGAAGGAAAGTTGCTGGAATAGAAACCGCCAGAAACGTAGAGCAGAAAAACCCACGAGAAAACATGCACCAACTTATATTCCTAAAACCCTAGATAAACCCCAACTAGGAAAAAAAAATACTGAAGGAAGAAAGACCCTTGAAGGTGTTAAAAGAAAGAAAAAGGAAGATATCAACCAAGATTTACAAACACACACAAAAGAAGCACTTTGATTGCACAAGAAGGACAAGTTCCTTTGAGTGAGTTCTTTTTTTTAATTTTCACTCTTTCCTTTTTTTTTTTTCTTTTTTTTTTAGCGGTAGCTGTATATGTATATAATTTTATGTTGCATGTTTTCAAGAATTGAACTGAATTCTCTTTGAGATTTTTACGAGGAACACTGGAATTTGTTCTCATAAACCTTTTCATTTTGTGGTTTTAGAACAAGCCTGAAGATCTTTAATGAGTATCGACATGAAGGATTCGTCGAGACAGAGTTCTTCGCTGGGGTTTAGCAGCAAGAACAAGAAGAAATGGCAGAGAAGGCGGAATGGCTGTGGATCAATAGAAGATACACTTGCAAAGTGGAATAGACACAACAAACTTCAAATAAGCAAGGTTCCAGGAAAGGGCTCAAAAAAGGGTTGCATGAAAGGAAAAGGTGGCCCGGAGAATAGGAACTGCAGATACAGAGGTGTCAGACAGAGAACATGGGGCAAGTGGGTTGCTGAAATTAGAGAACCTGCCAAAAAATGCAGTTTAATGAACAAACAAACAAGTAGACTCTGGCTTGGTACATTTTCTACTGCTGTTGAAGCTGCTCGCGCTTATGATTATGCTGCGAAGGCTATGTATGGTCCTAATGCCATTCTCAATTTCCCTGACTCCTCTGTCAAATCAGGGGACCATTTGGATAATTTGTCGTCTTCCATTACTGCAACTGAGACGTCATCAACTGAGTCAAGGACAACATTGGATAGCTATGAGGGTAAAAAGGTTGAGAACTTAAAGATGAATCATTGTTGGTCTAGAGAAGGAATTAGACAGTCAGACTCTTCTGGGATTTGTGCTTTCCAAGAATCAGAGGAGGAAGTTGAGAAACTTCAGGTGGCAGAGAGCAGTGCAATGGAGTTAAAAGCTGAGGAAAGGATTTTAGCAAATGATTGGAGATCGTCTCGTCATATTAAAGCTGAAGCACCTGTATCGAGGGGAGAAATCGATGGAGAACTTGCTGAAATTTTGAAAGCTTGGGGCTGTTGTGGTATCAATGACAGATATGGACTCTTGCAGAATGAGACAGAAAATGTAGAATATAAATTAAAGGAGGTTGATCATCAACCTCTCTGTCAGGAGATTGAATCCGGATTTAGTACCAGAGTCAACGAGTGCGTAGATTCGGACTATGATATCAGAACTGATCATCAACCTCTCTATAATGTTGAGAGGCCAATACTGAGGACAGCAACAGGGGGAGAGTTTTCAGGCTTGAAATTCAGTGATCACTCTGATGCTAGGCGTGATCACTTGAACCCGGGTTTATGCGATCCAGAAATTGATGTCAAGCCTTTTATCCAAGGTGTTTCTGATAATTCTGCGTTAAAAGGAGGGAGGAATTATGGTTATGATCCCGGCAAGGTTGGTTCTGCAAGCCCCCTACAGAGTGGAAGGCCACCTGGATTCTCCTCCCAGTTGCAGGCCCCAGGAACCAATATACCAGGTAGCTTGAGTTACATTCAGGAGGCAGATTTAGGTCTGGGTTGCAGTTTTGATCTATCAAAGCAGGACTTCACCTGGGGCGTCGTTGGAGAGCCAGGCCTGCTTGACTCGTGGTTTCCCTGAATTACAATTCTAGTAAGATTCGAGGTTTCAATTTGATTATCAATAAAACAATCTGCTTTTGGTATCTAATGATGAGTACCATTGCTAGAGGTAAAGCTAATTGTACTTTTTGAATCTCCGAGTAATATATGTCTCTCTTTTATTGCATCTGCAGTACAAAAATCTCTAGTAATGTTGATCACGTTGGACTCACAATAGAATCGGACCCGAGTTAATTTACTTACTGAATGTAAAGATTTCCCCCTTTCTATGCATGTCATTTCTATTGAATATACAGTTCCATCGAGAGGGGGGTACTATGGAATATGCTAATAATCACTCTACAGATATTACAAAGACGATTTCTGTAGTTTCTCGAAATTGTGGAAAGTCTGTGTCCCCCAAAATGTCCTCCAATTACAGTACAGAAAAAAAAAAAAAAAATTCTCACGGTTAGGGCCATGGATATATGCAGCGTTATAATATGCTGTAGTTGGAGAAGCCTGGAAGGAAAAACATATCTCTACAGACCGCCAGTCCTAAAATCAGCCCCCGTCGCAAGTCCAGTAATAATCTACTATTGAACAGCCACTTTAACCAATCTAGATAGATATGATGATAGAATCAATTTCAAGCACCATGAGGACGAGGTGAACTAGGGCACTGACATTGTTGCTCCGTGGTCTTCAATATCTCGAGTGCTTCTCGTGCCATGTTCTAGGACCCTGTCCTCGTATGACATCACAAGCATATGGTGTTGAACCATCTCATTCACTCACCTGTTCCGAATTGGCCCAGATCATTTTCCATGGTCCGGTTTTTGCGCCCAACCTGAAAGATTAAGGTTTTGGGTAAGACCGGGTGCAGGGTGGCAGGAAAAAGCAGTTTGATTCGATATATCCATACAACTGTATAGTGCATGAAGGTTAGCATAAATTAACTTTAAGCAAAGGTATTTAGCATGGTCCTTAGACTACTTGATATTCAGCAAGCCTGAAATCCCATAAATCTAGACCAAGTTCCAAAAGGTGAGGATCTAGTTAAGAAACTCATAAACTGCTAGTCTGCTATAGTTTATGGCCTATAACCAAAGCCCATAAGAATCTTTAAAAAAGATGGTATGTTTGTGGACCACTATACACCAGTAAAACAAGTTCGTATGGTAAACAAGGCCATTCTGTCTGCTCTTCAACTCGTCACTCAAACCTCTTTGTCTTGTCGTCACCACAAAACCTCTCTCCATGAAGTCAAGATTTCCACCCATAAATGAAGCATAAACAATGTCATGGCAGAGATGCGATTTTGGATTTCTAACAGGTTGCTAGACTGGGATTGCGGACACATACTAGTTTGATATGACTGGGTGGACTGGGCTAGGATACATTGCTACCAGAAACTCTCACAACCTATGCGACTGAAGCTAACCATATATGGTTTTTAATTAACTTGAGGAAAAAATAAAAAGAAAAGCTATCATGAACTTGAAATGCAATTGACTGATGAGCTAACTTCAATTATACAATTTCTGGACCTCTAGATGATTGACTGAAATGATCACGGAATGGTTACAAGAAAAGTTTCTTACAATATGAGAATTATTACCTCCAAACTCCAGCCACTACACGCAAGGTCATGAAGAGAAATAAACCTGCCCAGACTCCAGCAAGACCAAATACAGGAGCAGCCACAAATACAAAGAGAGAAGAAACCAGTGCAACCAGCACCTACAATTACAAATGTGAAGCTGAGAAAGGAAAGAGCACATCATATGATACATTTATTACAAAACGAAGAAGAACCAACCATAGAGTAGGCAGCAAAGCCAAAGTCTGAAACCCCATAATACAGCCCATCAAGAACAAATGCAAGAGCATTCATTGGCTGAGACCCAGCAACAAACTGCAAAATAGTTGTGTCAATGTTTAGGAGAAAGTAGGCTATAAAATTGGATAGTCCGAGCTTTAAAAGTAGGATCCAAACTGTCTTGACTGGAATTGAGAACCATAGATCAAAAGGTGTTTTCAAGTTAGCTTGAGGTGATGCTAGGACAACCCCATAAGATAAGGCATAAGCTTCGACTGCAGCCATGAGGTTCTAATGCCCAGTGCCATAAGGCATAAGTATTTTGGAACTGAACATCTTTCTATTCTTGACTTCTCAGAATTGCAATTGACCCAAAAATCTACACTAAAATTAGGTAGCTCCAAGGAAACCATGACCTGATTACTAAATTTTTTTATTTTTTATTTTTTCAAATAAGGTTTATCTATTTGCTTTTATGATTCAGTGTCAATTGCATTACCATTTCCTATCAAAAAATACCTACCTAAAATATACATACATCCATATATACGTACTGACACATAACATATTAAGAACATACAAATGCTCTCCAACAAGAAAACAAGTATTCAGAATAGCAATCCTCACCAAAATGCCAGACCAGGCAATTCCCAGAACTTCTGGATCTGTACTGAACAAAGTGGAAAAAGCTCCAAACCCAAGGGATAATATCACACCCAAAGCAATTCCAGTTACCAAACCAATCTGCTCTTTGATCAAGTCATAGCATGATGGAATTCGTTTGGTTACAATTTTTCTGATATTAAAAACTATGAAACCAGCTGACAATGAATATAACACAATAGCTAGAAGTATCAGCACACCTGCAGAGCTCTATAAATCACTAGGCGTGCTTGTTCATAATCCCCTTGGGAGTAACCACTGGCCAGAAGAGCCTGTAAAAGAGCAACAGAAGAGCAATGATGAAACTGAAATTGATCAGCACTTCTCAGCATGCATATCTATGACAGGCAAGTTTCAGGTCCAAGAGAACAAAAATGGAAGAAGCTCCAAAATTTTCCAACTCACTTCTATGCATAGAAGCCGTCCTTCAAGACTATAACAAACACAATTTAACAAGAATTTTTTACCTAATTTAAGATAACAGCTAATTTTTCCGGCAACTGGATGCTCAAACAGTGACTACATTTGTTATTGTTCTGCCTTAACCTCTCACTTTGGCTCTATTTCTTTTTGCTTTATTTAAGCCAAGGACCAAGTTACTAGAAAAATTCTAGTGACATTTTTCTTCTTCTAGGAGCAATCAAGATAGACAACAAGCACAGGAGTTACTACAGATAGGCAGAAGAGTGACGATTACAGAAACAATGATGGCATATATGTTCCTCTTTTACACCAAACGGAATACCAGTGTGCACAATAGAGAATAAATGGTTTCCATGGAGGAGGACAATCATCTGCTGCAAGTTTCATCCAGCAAGGTTGCCACTCAGGATACAGTTCCTCTAAGGTAGGTAATGACATTAAATTATATATTTAGAGTCTTAAGAAGCAAAAAAATTCAAACTGAAAGATCAATTTCCTCCACGGTTTTAGTTTCATTTAGCCACAACTTACGTATGAACTTCTCAAAATGTCAGGCTACAAAAATAGCTGTCAGGTCAAACTATCCAACATTACAATGCAATTTCAGATGCAACTATGCAAGTGCGAAACACACTTTACAGCCAAAACTGCAAACTATTGACCTGGCCAGCAAGGAATACTGTAGCTTCATTTAGCTAAAAAAGAAGATACAGCTTATATATGAACATTGAATACCAGACTTAGAACCAATGATCAAACAGCTATAGCCCAGTCATACTGTTTAGCATTTTAGTGCAAGGTCACATCTGCAGATATGTAAAACACACTTTACAGACAAGCTGCAAACTGTTTACCTGGCCAGCAATGGCTAAGGCATCATTAAGCAAAGATACAGCCAACCAGACTTGTATGCAAATTTGATGACCTGCCATTTGTATGGGCCCTTCCCTAGCTGCCATAGATGTTGCTAATGTCATGGTTAACAGCACTGCTATGGTCCTGCCAATAAGAAGACCACCTGCAAGTTTCATAAAACATGTTGTGTGGGTAATTAGAAAATAGTAACATTCTATAATTGACAAGAGCACTATAATTTGTCCACTACTTTCTGTGTCGCTTTTTTATTGGACCAACTTCACTGATCATAAAGCATATGACTATTGTTAAGACTTGTGATGCTTGAAAGTGAAACATTAAAATTCACCTAAGCTCTGGAAATTAGCTGGTTTACAGCCTAGGTGAAGGGGTCCCACCAAACATGACGTGCAATGCTCACATGAAGCATAAATAGTAATTATAGGTGTTGAAAATAGATGATAGGGACTTCTTTTATTGGACAAAGAACCATGCCCCCTCAATCCCCATTTATGTGGCAAACAATCTTCTCAAGAGGATACACGTCACGAATTCATTGCCAGCTCACCCAGAAATATTTTAATGAATTAGTGATGACACATCCACAACATGTCCATAACAGGCTTCACAACTTGTTACACCTGAACTGTGTAACAAGCAGAAAATTTATGAGTTGTTCTCTCAACCATGGTAATTGAATTGCATGGTGTTATATTTGCACAACGGACTTTGATCTCGTTCTAACTGAATAGCAACGAAATCCACAGAAAAATGTTCGATATGAAATGATCGGTTGTATTCAAAATCCAAATTTGGCATCCTATCTCAAAACAGAAGCATGGAAATTTATTCGCCATTCTTACGTGATGTCATTCGTAGCTATGGTCACAAAGAACTAGGACCATAGGAAGGAGAAGGAGAATTGAAGCTTCGATGCTTCAACAATTTTACATGAAACAGTACTCAAGCACGTGCTTTAGTAGTGTCCAAGAACTTTACCACCACACCAGAAGAGGTCATCATGTTTCCTGAACGATTTGCTAAAGTGAAAGTATGTTACCAATAGTGGGTCAAGATTTTAATTCAGAAGAAAAGTTAGTAGTTTGTACAACAAACAACAATTTGTCCTTCCAAACTTTATGAAATTATACAAGGCACATCTACTCCCCCTTTGCTGATTGGCCATCGCCCATCAGTTGTCCCACTTTAGCATGTTATATTGAAAAAAAATTTCATGTGACTAACTCGCCAAATGAGCTGACTGTATTTCTCCATGACAGAATTTTCTTAATAACATCAAATTAAAACAATACATGTTAAGAACAGAAGGTACAAAGCTGGTAAGAAACATACCAGAGTTCAGATAGCGGATAACTTCTCTTGCATCAATGTTTGGAGAGATAAGTTGCACTTTGCCATTTAATTCCCAGAGAAGAATGAAAGCGATCAGATATCTGCAGAAAAACGGACAAAGGTAAATCAATAGGAGGGAGAGATTAATCAGAGTTTCAAAAAACAAAATAATATCATGTGCAAAGGGCACTGATATTATATAATTTACCACATTAATGACATACTCAGAAATCACTGTAGCAACCGCAGCACCACCAACACCAAAACCAAATAGAAATATGAATATTGGATCCAATATTGCATTAAGTAAGTTGCCGGCACCTGATAGTCAAATTACAAAGTTATCACAAGTGTGGCAAAATCATGGAATCAGTAGCAGGAACTAGCCTGAAATGCTGGACATATTTTCAGAGCATATGGGACCATGTTATTGATATTGGTGGTGAACATGACGCCATCTTTTGCATTCATCATCAACCAAAACATATGTATATGCGTAAATGTTTGTTGCCTATTATTGCACGAACTTGAGATTCTTAACTAATAAAAGGTGGACCAACTACGATATTCAACTATTGACTTAAAACATCCCCTTCACCTGGTATATTTAAGGTGTAAAATCCATCTATATACTTTCTGTCCCTGTGAATTCTAATAGCCTACTGTGTTGGGGGGGGTGGGCGGGTAAGCAATGTGAAAACCTTACAAAGATAAAATGACAAAAAAAAAAAAAAAGGTCTTCTGGGGATAGACTTACAAATATGTATATATGTACAAAAGACAAGGAAAGGAAGAGGAAAAGAGTGCTGCAATACTTGCCAATGGCATACAAGGGTGTCTTTGTATCCATAAATCCACGAAATGTTCCTTGTGCTGCAAGTGCAATTACAATGGGTGGGGCACCAAAGGCCCTCAAAGTAAGAAACTGCTCAGCTGGTACTCGCATGGGCGAATCCTGTGACAGAGCAAAAAACTCAGACTTCTACAGCCATAATCCAGCATCAACATTATCATATTTACCATCTAATATGTAGTCATGCACCCTCAAATTTACTGGACATCTAAGTAACTTGACATATTAAAATTTCATAAAACACATACTTGACGGAAATCATCAGTACAAGCTTCCCATGTTAATGTTCTAACCGGCAAATCATTAAAAACCAAAATGAAAGATAGAAGTCGTTATCACAAATTTAACATTCAAATATAATGTACAATTAGAAGGTAAGCAAATTACTCCAAGTTGTCAAAATCTCATACACTGAGAAACTAGAATGTTTTAGACTACTGTTTTTACCATTAAGATGACCATATTAAGGCAACATAGTTAAAATGACTTGAAGTTAATTTTCTCAAGGCAGATACATGCAGCATTAACATACAGGTGAACAATCACGACATTACCAGTTCAAAACATGAATTCTCTATCCAAGAGAGCAAATGATGCAAGAAATCTATAAGACAACAAAAATGACCCAAAAATTCAGAACAAAACTTGACGTACAACAGGTATACCCATGATATTCATCAAGAAACCCGAGCCAACAAAGAGAGCAACAGTTTCCGCAATGCCAGCAGCAGCAGCAAGCGCCAAAGAAGTCGAAACTGAAGGAAGAACTCTCTTCCCTTCACAATTTTTTACTGAATCTTAAACCACAACACCAAATTAAAAAAAAAAAAAAAAAAAAAGTTAAACTCATTAATCAAGAATAATAAATAAAATTCTCAAATAAACTCAATAAAGAGAGCAAAAAACCAACTACCATCGTTACTTTTGCTAATCACTGCTTGCTCTTCGGCAACAAAGGAAGTAGTAATATTAAGCAATGGAACATTAAACAACTTGGAAACCAAATTAAATATCGATATTGACACTCCAACCGCCGCCAATTCAACCGATCCTACGATATATTTAAAAAAAAAAATCTTAAATGTGATCAGATCAACAAATTCGAATTTCTTAATTCATTAGAAGCAATAAAAATGAGAAAAAAAATTATTATATAAAAATACCGATATGGCCAACAAAGGCAGTATCAACAAGTGAAGTAATAGGATCAGCAGCAAGTGCCAAAGCAGCTGGCAATGCAATTGATAAAATCTCCAGTCCAACCTCGTCAATCTTAATTCCATCTCTACGAAATTATAAGAACAAAATTAATCAATTTCTGTAAAAATAGCAATTAAAACCTAATTTCAATCGATTCTACTTGTTACCGGTAATTAATGCGCCAGAAACGACTAAAAAAACTAGAAACTGAATTGGTTAATGATGACGTGGAAGTTGAAGAAGGCTTGCTATTAACCGAAGTCGTTTTTGGTTTCGGTTTGGTATCAAGAGAACTTGTTGTTGTCTTGGTGGTGGTGGTGGTTTGAGGAGATGATGACTTGGGGACGGTGGTTTTTAAACGAGCAGATAAATTTTGGTTTCTTTTTCGAGAGTTAAATGAAGGATTTGTGTAGAAATGGTGTATGCTCAGAAGCTTGTGAGAGAGAGCTATAGCCATCTCCTTCTTTATCTCTCAATTCTTTGTGTTTGTGACTTTTGGTTGGAGAAAAGTAAAAATCTAAGTGGAGAGACTTGAAACCAGAGATTTGTTTCCTTACTTGTTTTTAGTTTTTGCAATCACTGGCTTTCGTTAACGGATAGGTTGCGCGCTCCTGGTAAAAAGAACGAAAAATATCTTCGTTCGGTTTAGTACAGTTAGTACCGATTGTACTATGGGCCGCATTGGCTCTTCTATGAAATACATGAGCCGAAGAACTCATGTGTTGGACTTGGACTGGCACTGTATTTTCTAAACGAAATAACATCCCATTCGGTGCCCAAATTGAGGAATTTTAAGGTAATCAATGAGTATTACTCTTCCACTCATTTTAAATTGAGATATATTAGTGGGCGGATCTTATTATTACGTGAGTAAAAAAGCATTCCTTCGAGAATATTTAATAATGTTTTCGAAAAATTATTAGGTGTTTAGGGTATGTTTGTTTTGTGTTTCAAAAAGTTTTTTTTTTTTTATTGTTTGGACGTATTCGGGAAAATATTTTTCATGTAAAATGTTATTTCGCATTGATGGCTTTTTAATGATAATAATAAGATGAGAAAAATTATGGTATTGTTACTATAAGTAGTTTGTTAGTGGTAGTGATGGTGGTGATTATAGTAGTAATATTTAAGTTAGGAGTTGTGATAATTTAATACTAACAGTAGCAATTGTCGAATGATTGTTGTTATGGTGGCAGTAAAAATGAAAATGATGATAAAAATAATAGTTGCAATAGTTGTAGAGTAACAATAATGGCGGTGAAAATGACGAAAAAATGGTGGGTACATTACAAAAGAAACTAAATCAGGTGATAGTTTCACTGTTTGAAATCTGTTCATCCTCACCCATTTGCACTGTGGATTATGACTGTGGCACATTGTTCTAATTCCTTTTCCTTATTTCAGTTGTCCATTTCCTGTAGTCCCTCCAATTGCCTCTTTGTCAGTCGTTTATTTCCACCTACTCTCTCATTTCTTTCATTTGTTTATACTGATAGAGTTTGTTTATCATGGATTATTTGAGCCTTTCAATAGTTTTTTTAATTCCTTAAATGCCATTTTGTCCTCCTGCCAAGTTACCTTTTTGCCCTCTTGTCTTAGGTCTTTCTTGCCTTGCTTTTTATGGCCTTTCCGTCAATTTCTTTTTTTCTTTTTCCTATAGAGCATTTAATGTTGTGTCTTGAAGTTTGCTTCTTTCATTTGTTGAGATGTTTTTCCGTCAGTTTATCCTTTTATTAGTTGGGCTGTCCAAAAGAATATTAATGAGTAGGAATGCAAGCTTTTTTTATTCTACACATATATATATATATATATAAATAGTTTTTCTAGAATGTGTACTATGTAATTGGAGTCTAGAGCTTTAAATTCTCCATTCAATAAAAATAAAAAAAATAGTTGATTAGTTGTGTGCATGATAAATTCTTAATAAATCAAGATTCAAAACCATGTTACATTTTTCTTGCAATAATAAAAGACAAATAGAAGCCATTAGCAAAGAATTTTTGGAATATTGAATAAATTGTAATATTTCAAATATATATATAATTATTTTTGAATCATGCCTAATTACACATGTAGGGTTTTTTTTTCTGTTCATGTACTAACAAAATACTATTCATTAGATGATATTTTTCTATATTAAACAAGTGGAATTTTTGTTATTTTAATCGTTTTTAAAGCATTTAATTACATCTATGACACTATTCATCGTCTTTTTATTATACATTGAGTGGTGTTTTTTGTAATTTTGAAGTTTTTTCAGATATTTTATATGTATTTTTTTGCTCATATTGCTCTTTTGTCTATTATTTTTTCAATACTTTTTATTTCTATCCACAATTTTATTTGTATTATAATCTGTTTGTCCGACAGACTAAGAAGTAAGAGAAATAAAGAAAAAGGAAGGAGAAGAGAGATATCTGTGTATGAATTTTTAAAATATCGTTATTTACTCTTAAATATCGTTTTTTATATAATTTATATGATAGATTTTTTGTTAATTTTTAAATGATGGTAGCATGATTATATGTCTATGTGTGTGTACGGGCGAATTTTTGAATATGATTATTTGCTTTAAAAAAATTATATGATGAATTCTTTGAATTTTTAAATAATGGTAGCATGATTATATATATATATATATTAGGAGTGTTTTTTTAAATAATTTGTCTCAAATTTTATAGGAAAAAAATTATAAGAAAGGTTTTGAGTTAAAAATTCATGGACTTTTAAATTTGCTTACAAGATTTTAGTTAAGAATCCGGATATAGAGGAATAAATCATGTTCTTTTTAGCGTAAAATTTATTAAAAACATAATGAATAATTAGTTAAATAAAAATTAAAAAATATTTTTTTTTCGATTTAATATATTTTGATGGATCCACGAGTATAGCACGGATCATAAAATTAAAATTATTTTTTAAAATAATTCTACATGTTTTGTCCGATCCGTAACGAACGCGGGTAAATAATTAGTAATCGCTATTTCGTGGGGGATAAGACAATAAATCGACAATGACAAGCGAAATCGACAATGACATGCGAAATAATCGCTAATTTCTTGCCTACCATCAACAAGAGTGCTACCTCGTAGATAACTAAATGGCAATAGCTAAGGGTGCTCATGATAGTGGTGGTGAGGAGGAGGCTGTTATTGTTACAATGGTGGTGGTGTAGAAGGATTATGATGGGGTGAATGATAAAATGATAATTACATTAAGAATAAAAAGATCGTTGCAATGGCATTGTTCATAGTGGTGGTAGCCTATGGTGGTGAGATAATGGCAATAAAGATGGTGATGGTGATGGTTGTGATGGTAGTTGAATTGATTAAATTATAATGTTGAGAAATATTGTGAGTTAATAGTATTAAGAAAAAGAATATTATTCTCTCCTTCTGGAAGTTAAAATATTTTCCTCTAAATATACTATTTGAAAAATATTTTTTGTTGACTTACTTTTCAGTGTTTGTTTAGTGCTAAAAAATAAAGATAAATATATTTCTAGATAATATTTTCTGCAAAACAAATATAGACTCTTAAGAATAACTAAAAATCTCTATTTTTAAAGCTATTGTGAAAAAAATTTATTCATTTATTTATTCCAATGCATGGTATAATAATCATGTTTGCAGCTACAATTAAATAAATAAATAATGCTAGGATAAGTACAGATAGATGACATCTCAGTTAAGTAGACCAATGGTACAGAAATGCTGTACTTACTGCCCAGAACTCAGAACTAATAGTTGGGGGCTTGTTCTTCACTGATGGAACAGGCATTGAACTGAAAGATTTAGGATAGCGTCTATGATATTACCTGTAAAATAAATTCCATTGTATTTGTTTTTTCAATAGCAAGTAAGTGGACATGCCGTGAAAAAAATAAAATTGAGAGATGGTGATGATATTCTAAACTCAAATAATTAGTCTCTCTTTATGGCAGGAGGAAGGATAATTTACATTATTATCATTGTTTATTTATTTTATTTTATTTTATTTTATTTTATTTCATTAGTTTTTCTGGTTGCTGTTGTTGAGCTTCTTTATGAGGGCTGTGCGAGTGCCCCCCCATTCTGCTCTCTCCAGAAAGGCTTAAGAAACATCTTTAGTGGGTTGAACTTACTGCAACATTGGCTGTTTGGACTTTAGCGTTTAGGCTCTTCTGATAGGCTCCAGATTTATCAAATCTTCACACCTTTCTCTTTGTATTAGGGCTTTAAACATTGGTTATAAATTGAGCTATAGCTCCTCGTATACAAAGTACTCATGGGAAAAGCTTGAATTCTGAATGGGACTTCTATCGTTCTGATTATCTGCCAACATTAAATGACAGCCACATAAAAATAAAAAGAAGGGCTAACCTCAAAAATTGCCCTCAGCTGTATAACTATTCTTAATTTTTTGGATAGTTTTATCTCCCAAGTTTCACAAATTCTCATTTGAATCTTTTCATTCGTTTTTTTTTTTTTTTAATCATGTATTCCATGTAAATTGTATTTTCATTTGTAATAAATGACATCTATTAGTCTCGTTATTCAAAGATCATTAGCGATAGATTTGGTTTGGCTTAAAAGATAATTAAGTGATTGATCAAAAACTAAACATGTTTTAATACTTATTTAATCATAAAATGTATGAACTTAATTTGGATTGACATAAAATTTAAACTGTTGATATCTCATTATTTATGATATAAAAAAAAATGGCTTCATATAGTAGGGAATTGAACAAAAAAATGCTAACATAAGGATCTAATTGAAAAATCTAAATTATTTGCGAAAAACATTGATATAAAAAACTACTCCGGAGCAAAATTGATGCTAGGGTTACAATTGAGGTTTGCCTCAAAAAGAACTATTTGTAACGTGAAAACCAGCACATAAAAACAGAGTAAAAGCATTACACTCGTACAAGGATGTCCCAAGTACATATAGGAAGGGTGAAAATTTGTCCTGGTGCAAGTAAAACAGGTAAAAATGGCATTAGAGAAAATATAGTAGAGAAGATTATGGAGGGTGTTAGAATCAACCAAAAGACCAAAGAAGACCATTAGAAAATTCTAATTATAAGAAATTGAAAAGATCCAATATTTCATAATTTATAATTTGGTTTGATTTGTTACCATAATCTCTTATTATATTCACTATATAAACAAATTATGTGTAACAATTCATATCAGCAATCAATAAGATTCTCCTGTTTGATGTTTCTGCAGTGAAATACTGGAAATCTTCATCCATGAATTCCGGCCCCTACCACTGACGCTGTCTCCCCTTTTGTCTTTCCTAGCTTACTTATTTCCTTTCAGCTATGTGATTCTTGTGGCTGTTAATACATATCTTGTCGCAATCCCATTGTAGTGGCAACCTGCGATTATTCACAAGATGAAGATAATTTCCACCAAATACAAACGTTAGAATTGATGGATAGCTGATACTTGTTCTTAGATGACTAGAA